GCACGCACACGCGCCCGGCGTGAGTTTTAAGCCACCGGGTCCGGGACATGAACCGCGGTCGACTACGTGGGAGTCCAGCGACATAGCCATTACGCTAACTGCTGGTTCCCCGCCTAGTGTGATTTTTAAGCTGCCAGATTCAGGACATGAACCTCGGTTGGCCATGTGGGAATCTAGTGCCTTAACCACCATGCCACCAGTTGACCCTTTGAGAGCAGATTTTAAAACTTAACAAGAAACTAAGGTTGATACATGACTAGTTTTGCTTTTCAATAACATATAATCAAGAGATGTTATAGCAACTTTTTTTTCCCAATGGAACCTATTCAATTACAATAGATTAAGAACTAAGCATTAACTAAGGTAGTACTATTGAATTATCAAAGAGATTGTACAACCCTTTATAATTACAAAAGTTTTTAAACTTTTTGATATTAAGTCTTCATATTTTAATTTCACTGTAGTTTATGTTGCCTTCCATAATACGTTGTTTTGGGACCAGCAGTTGGTGTAATGGCTATGTCGTTGGACTCCCATGTAGTCGACTGCAGTTTGAGTCTTGGACCCGGTGGCTTAAACTCATGCCGGGTACATGTGCGTGCATGCCCAAGATCCCAAGAGGAGAGTGTAGGAGAAGGGATTACAGTGTGTCCATCCACCCTGGAGGGGTGATTTCTTGCTTTTTGTCTCTCTATCTCTCTCTTTCTGGCGAGTGCACCCACCCTCTCCAAACCCCTTCCGGGCGAGGCCCCCCCCCCCCCCCAAAAAAAAAAAAAAAAAAAAAACCATGTTGTTTTCTTTTTTTTGGAGGACTGAGATATCACCTTTTCCTTACTCTTATTATTATAAGAGTGACTGTCTAATGTATTGGTACACTGGGAAAGTTATATATTTTTGCATAGAAGAACACATGATGATTTCTTTGATGACCTAATACTTAGGTATTTTGTTGTTTTTTTTTAAACTATAGAGGACCAGTACTCTGGCGAAGATACAGGAGAAGCTGAGTGACTGGTTTAGAGAAAATAATACATTTGATTTGATCTAAGGTTCTGATTTGTAATAGATAATATGTTCCTTATATTTGGTTTCCTATACATATTATTACTTGAATGTTAAATGACACTTATATAAAACCATGTATGGTTTATTATTCTTCTTGTTTCTTAATTGGTTATATGTAATCTTCTCATGCTACTTTTTTAATAAGACAATGAAGCCATATATAACTTTTTTTTTTTTTTTTTTTTTTTTGGAGAGATTTTCACTATAGGGCGCGTGCGCTCGCCAGACAGACAGAGAGAGACATAGAGACAGAAAGCGAGAAATCACCCCCCAGGGGGGATGGTCACGCCGCAATCCCTTCTCCATTCTCCTCTCGGGATCTTGGGCACGCACGCACACGCGCCCGGCGTGAGTTTCAAGCCACCGGGTCCGGGACACGAACCGCGGTCGACTACGTGGGAGTCCAGCGACATAGCCATTACGCCAACTGCTGGTTCCCTATAACTTTTAAACCTTTACACTATTGTTTTCTTTTTCCTGAAAGAATTATTTATTTAATTTATTATTATTTTTAATTTGAAGGGAGAGAGAAAGGGAAAGCAAGAAAGCACGCTTCAGGTCCAGGAGTTGAACCGTGGTTGGCCATGTGAAGTCCAGTGCTTTAACCACTATGCCACCTGCTGGCCCCTCCCATTGTTTTCTTTGAAAACTGTTACTTCGTCTTAAAAATTTGCTAGAGGGCACATGTGCTTACCAGGAGGAGTCAGGGAGAGGAAGAAAGCACCTTGATGGGGCATGGTCACACCACAGTTTCTTCTCCATTTCTCCATCTGGTTGGAATTTTTGGGTGTGTACATATGCCTGGTATGTTTTTCTTTTCTTTCTTTCTTTTTTTGAAGAGATTTTTGCTATATTGTGTGTGTACTCGCCAGAAAAACAGAGAGGGACAGAGAGACAGAAAGCAAGAAATCACCCACCAGATTCTCCTCCATTCTCTTCTCAGGATCTTGGGCACGCACACACACATGCCCAGCATGAGTTTAAGCCATAGGGTTTGGGACCCAAACTGCGGTCGACTACACAGAAGTTAAGTGACAGCCATTACACTAACTGCTGGCCCCGCCTGGTGTGTTTTTCAAGCCACTGGGGCTGGGATTGAAAGCACAGTTGTCTGTGTGAGATCCAGCTCCCTTAACAACTAGGCCACAAAGCTGGAAAAATGGGATTTCTCTTTTTGTGCTGTTCCTGGCTTATTTGACTGAACAGAATGTCCTCCAGACACAGACATACACACACACACACACACACACACACACACACTTTCTTTATCTATTCATTAGTTAGTTAATGGACATATAAGTTGGTTCCCTATCTGGGATACTGTGAATTGGGCAGCAATAAACATGGGAGGGTAGATATCTCTTTAATACACTGATTTCCTTTCCTTTGGATATACAAGGGTGTTACAGAAAGTTCATAGGAAAATGGAATTGAAGTATGAGTTTACTTCAGTATAAACATTTTTTGAAACCATACATGGTTTATGCATAGTTTTTCATAATATGCATTTCCCATGAACTTCCTGAAGGCAGCCCCCCCCCCCCACCGCCCCATACCTTGTATAAGGCTACCAATTGGAATGTAGAAGTTGTGTATTAGTGTAAATACTAAATTTTCATAAGGTAGCTCTATTTTTAACTTTTTTTTTTTTGTCAGTGGGTGCATGTACTCGCCAGAGAAAGAGAGAGGGAAGGAAACTGACAAAATGTACCCCTCCCTCATGGGGAATGGTCACTTTGCAGTCACTTATCCATTTCTCCCTCCTTTCAGGATTTTGCACATGGACATGCTTATGGTGTGTCTCTCAAGCCACTGAGTCTGGAATTCAAACCCACAGTAGGCCATACAGAATCTGGCTGCCCCAACTACCATGCCACAGGCTAGCCCTATTTTTAGCTTTTTGGAGAACCTCCATACTGTTTTCTATAACAGTTATACTAGTTTATATCCCCACAGATGGTTTGTAAGAGTCCTTCTTTCTCTGCATTCTCATCAGCATTTGTTATTTGTTGTCTTTTTAATTATAGCCCTTCTCTCTGAGGGGGAGATAAGATCTCACTGTGGTTTTCATTTTCATTTCTCTGATGATTAGTAGTGATGTTGAACTTTTCTTTTTTCCCATGTACCTGTTGGCTATGTCTGTGTCTTCTTTTGGGAAGTGTCTATTCAGATCATTTGGCCATTTTAAAGCCAGATTATTTAGCCTGTTCTAAAATCATATTATTTCCAGAGGGTTTTCTTGCTCGTTTATCATTGGTTTTAGTTTACTAAAAAGGACTTTAGATTTTGAAAATCAACATTTTTGTGTAAGTCATCTTTTCTATGAGAAATTTGTAAGGAAGTAGTTCGGATTAGAACATTTTAATTTCTGTCTACTTTATCAAGAAATTTTTACAAGTTAGTTAATAAGGGCAGATGATGTATAAGTAAAAGCTGGGGGCTTAACAAATAAGTAAAACTGAAGTTAAAGTGTCTGTCAGTAAGCAGGGTGTTAACTGTAGATAAGAGTAACCTTGGTTCAGAACAGTTTTCAAAGGGACACTCAATTTAGAATAAGGTATTTCTAATCTTAAAGCCTCTTCACATAAATAAACCTGATATGCATAGTATAAAGCTTATGTTGTACCATCTGTGGGTATTTAAGTATCATTTAACCTTTTCATACAGGGTTCAGATTTTTTATTACAGAGATCTCATACAGATGTTGTAATTAGCAAAACTTAAATCTTCACTAATTTAATCCTTTCAGACATTTTCATTTTGGCAGTCTGTTTCAGCATGCTATTTTATTGTCAAATTAGAATAGAAACTGGGATCAGCGGATGGCATAATGGTTTGCCACTGGACTCCCATGAAGTTGACCGCAGTTCGAGCCCTGGACCTGGTAGCTTAAAACTCAGGCTGGGCGCCTATGCGTGTGTGCCCAAAATCTCGAGAGGATAATAGAGGAGAAGGGACTGTGGGGTGGCCATCCCCCTGGGGGATGATTTCTGGTTTTCTGTCTCTCTATCTCTGTCTTTCCGGTGAGTGCACACACCCTATAGCAAAAATCTCTTTAAAAAAAGTAAAAAATAGAAACTGACTTGAAGTCAACTCTATAAAACTTATCTGTTTTCTATCTTATTAAAGTCATATTCTTTCCTGTTGAATATTTGTCCGCATTACAGCAGCACTCAAGTAAACATATCAGTGATGCATAAGCACTAATGAACAGTTCCATATGCTGTCTTCTAATTAAATGATTAGCACACAGATTTATATTGGCTTATATATGATGAAACTCTATTTATCCATTTTGGTCTTACTGGAGGACCATTAGTAATACTTTTTTTTTGAGCTGGCTTTAAATAAATTTTCTATAAAATACAATTGGGTAGAACAAAACCAAACTCAATATTACATTCTGCCCTCAAGCTTAAGTAACACCTTACACCTCCTCAAAGTGAACACTCTGATTCAAATCAACTGTGATATTGTCCGTTACATCATGGACTGAAAAAGCTTTAAGGTGTTTTGTGTCTTTATATTATATCTCTGGATATTATAAAAAAAAAATTTGGAAAGTTATGCTCTTTAGCTTCAGAGACTGAAATTGTAACATATAACCAAAAAGATAAAATCATGAAAACGTATGTATTCTTGTTTTCCTTTTTCTAGGAGAATTTTTCCTCTTCTATGAGCCTCAGAAAGACTACTGGGGTTTTTTAACCCCCATGACTGTGCCTAGAATCCAGGGCCTAGCAGCTGTATACAAGGACTCTATCTACTACATAGCTGGAACCTGTGGAAATCACCAACGTATGTTTACTGTAGAAGCATATGATATTGAGCTGAATAAATGGACTCGTAAGAAGGACTTTCCATGTGATCAGTCCATAAATCCATACCTTAAACTGGTCCTTTTTCAGAATAAACTGCATTTATTTGTCCGGGCTACTCAAGTAACTGTTGAAGAACATGTCTTCAGGACCAGCAGAAAAAATTCCCTTTACCAATACGATGACATTGCTGACCAGTGGATGAAAGTGTATGAGACCCCAGATCGGCTCTGGGACCTTGGCCGGCATTTTGAATGTGCTGTTGCTAAACTCTATCCTCAGTGTCTTCAGAAAGTACTCTGATGGGTCTCAGACCTTTGCGTATCCCTGGCATCTCAGAGTTAGGAAATTTGTCTTACCATATAAAGATGTGCTGTCAGTATTTGAGAACGCAGAGAGAGTTTTGTATCTGGAAATGGGTGCTCTTAAAGATTGCAGTGTAAGGAGGGATTTGCTTTCATCCTTGTGATGTTTTCATTTCAGTCAGGAAAAGGTAACAAAGTGCAATTATCAGCATTTTTTTTTCTGGCATAAAAGTAATCATATCATTCTAGAATTCTGTGATAAACGATCACTGAGATACCAGATGAATCAAGACAACTATGCACTCTCATAAGAGCAATTAGATTAGTATTAGGTACAGACATTCGAACTAGTTTGATGTGACTTATTGTTTTAAATACGGGTAACAATCTGAGGCAATATCACTACGACATTACTTTAGCTGTGACATCTCTAACACAGAGAAGCACTAACTTAGATCCTCATTCTTAATATTTATATGTATACATGTATGTATCTTTTATGTGCGTATGTGTACTGTTTTCAGTGTACTGAGATTTTAATGTGTTTTATTATTAGAATAGATTGAAGGAAAAACAATTCAGTCTCAGAAAGAGCTTTTAGTCTGATTGTTTCATTTTTCCCATGAAACTTTAAGTTAAGCTAAAGTTTCAAAGTGGCAGTTTTCTGTCAGTAACTTTTCAAGTGCTAACACTGTCTCATTTTTAAAAATCCCGAAAAGGGCTCATTTTCACAGGTGGCCGGTGCTAGTATTAGTTAATTCATGTGTAGGGCTAAATAGATTTAAATGGACTGAGCCCATACTGATTTCTCAAAGTGGTGTATTAGTTTCATGGACATAATAATTTACCTGTTGGACTCTTGTGATTTCACAAGATTCTCTAGTTATGTGATAGCAGGATATGGTCACTTATTGGTCTAACTGCACTCAACCTTAGAATAGTAAGAACATTATACCCAGTTTGCACTAACATGGGCCAGTTTGTTGCCCAACCTCCTTTTTCATCATCTACCTGTTCAGTCAGTATCGGTATAAAGGTAACTTATTTCTCTTCTGCACAGAATATAATGTGAAGTTTTACACCTACTTTTAAAATTCTGTTTTCTGGAAACAAAGCTCCTGCGGTGGTCTACTTTAATGGCTTTTAGGTTTCATATTACAATTAAAACCTCATTTTTTTTTTTCATTTTTGCACTTCATAGTGATGAATACTTTTTTCACTGAAATCTTCGTTCTAGGTGTTTGAGAAGGAAAAGAGTAAACAGAACATCATTTGATAGGTACTGAATCATTTTTAATATTTCACTGATAAATTCCTAACAATCAATTAGGAATATAAATATGAAGGACAAACCAACTCATTTGCATATCTAAGGCAGGTATTTGGATCAACTCCTTTTTTACTATGCCTAGAATAATTGATAAAAGGTATAAGAATAGCCCAGAGTCTGTCCTCAATCAGAACTTTTTTACTCTCTTAAAGAAAGCAAATTGGCATGGTTTATATTTTAAAATTCTTGCACAAATTGTAATGTGATACTGTGAAACAAATTTAAAACATTGCCTCTTTGCTTCACATACCTCGTTTTTCGGAAAGTTTCCAAACTGCTTTCTTTACATAGACCTCTACAAGTAGGGAATGTTTTCTGAAGCAGAAGTTAACATGGACAGCATTTATAGAATTAGTATTTTAACATCCAGTCTTAGAAAGCTAAATATGTGGTTTCTTCTTATTGGCCTTGTTGTGTGTCTGTAATCTCTGTAACAACCTTGTTAACTATTATTTTTAGCACCTCAGTTCTGTGTTATTTTGTACAATTTTATCTTCATGCTGTTTGGGGGTGACTTCTGTGTGTTTTTTGAATCATTCTTTGCAGTTTTGCATTGCCAAGGGGAGGAAAAAAAAAACAAAAATAATCAATTTTTGCAAGAGATGTTCATGTAATGTATTTTGAAAGCTTTGTTGAATATCTAAGATTTCCTGCCGCTTTTTGACAATCTTCTGTATTTAGAAAATTGTATTACTTGAAAACATGACATAGAACATCAAAATTAGCAATTTACACATGCCGTGTGGTATATATATATGAGAACGATGTACTGTGGCTAATTCTGCAGTAGATTTACTCTGTTGATGTGCACGCCAGTTGATCCTTTTGCTATCAATTTATATTGAGGATATGATCTAAGTATAGTATGTCAAAGCCAAGGCTTAGGGTTTGCTACAGGAGTAGAATATATATTGAATTTTGTATGAAGAATTATTTGTTTAAATTATATAGCTGGGATACTTTGCCACTTTTAAAATGGTGTCAGAAGAGGTTCTAAAAAGCTAAGATTAGTGATTGTGTAGGTTTGAGTTTAGATATTCTAGGTACATTTTTCATAGCTTATGATGAGAATATAAGTAAAAGGCACAATGGGTACTACCAAATTAAAATACAGGTCTAACACATGCCCATCCCACTTCACTTTGTTTTTGCATTTGAAGAATGTTATGTCGCACTTTCCTGTATGTTTTTTTTTTTAACACATTGAAACTGGACTTGGTATAACTATGTTATAGGAAAATAGAAATTGTGTTATTTTTCCATCTTTGTTTTTTGTTATCCTCCAAAGTTGATGCTTAAGCACCTCCAAAGCTGATGCTTATGCATCAAGCAGATTTCACTGGTGCATTCACTTTGTTTTTGCATTTGAAGAATGTTATGTCGCACTTTCCTGTATGTTTTTTTTTTTAACACATTGAAACTGGACTTGGTATAACTATGTTATAGGAAAATAGAAATTGTGTTATTTTTCCATCTTTGTTTTTTGTTATCCTCCAAAGTTGATGCTTAAGCACCTCCAAAGCTGATGCTTATGCATCAAGCAGATTTCACTGGTGCATGGAGAAAAAAGTGGATGTGATCTGCAAGGAATCAGATTCCCAAGATAAAGCAGTTTAAAATGGCATCAATGTTCAGTAAGTGCTCAGGTATGTAGTAAGTACTGTAGTCCTATGGGGGCAAATGTGTAGATATTTTTAAACATTTTGCCATAATTGCACAATTTTTTGCATTTTTACCTGATGTCATCGTTTCTTATAATAAACCTTTTCTGATTGAAAACTTCCAGTGTTGTGAACTGACCTCTGACTAGTGAATTTTGTAGAACTTTGGTGGAAAATCATGAAATAGCTCATGTCATGGTAGAAAGAAATAAAATATTAATCTACTGAATATATAGTCTTTGGTAGCAAATGAACTAGTTAATATCACCATATATAATACTCTTTACATTCTTTTTTTTTTTTTTTTCTTTAAGAGAGAATTTTGCTATAGGCCACATGCGCTAGCCAGAGAAAGAGAGAGACAGAAAACAAGAAATCGTACCCCACAGGGGGATGACCATGCTGCAATTCCTTTTCCTCCAGTCTCCTCTCAGGATTTTGGGCATGCATGCACATGTACCCAGTGTGAGTTTTAAGCTGCCGTGTCTGGATTTCGATCTGCAGTCAACTACGTGGGAGTCCAGCAGTGTAACCATTACACCATCTGCTGGTTCCATACATGCTAAAGTATTGGTAATTCTTTTGTTCTGGTCAAATCTTGTTATCCTTGACTCTTCTCTTGTACATACTTCATATCCAATCCATCAGAAAATCCTGTTACTTCTTCAAAATATACCCAGACTCAAGCCACATACCACTTATGCCACTGACACCCTAGTCTAAACTAGCATTTTCTGTTTGTGTGTTTAGGTTTTGCCACAGGGCATGTGCGCCCACCAGAGAAAGACCGAGGGCCAGTGAGAAATCACCCCTGGGGGCTTGCCACAAGCCCCCATCTTCCATTCTCCCCTTGGGATTTTCAAGCCGCTGGGTCTGGAGTTTGAACTGTGGTCAACCCCCAGTGCAGCCCTTAACCCACCTTGCCATCATTGCCACTCTCCATCTCACTCTATTCCAGTTACAAGGGCCTTGCTGTTCCTTAAATACACCAAGCACCTCCAGTATTAGGGCCTTTGCCTTTGTTGTGTCTTTTGCTAGAGAAACCCTGACAACTCACTTTATTCAAGTCTTCATTATGATCATTTTTTAGTTTTTTTTCCCCCTTTCTTTCACGACAGATACATATTTTGAGTTGTTGGAAAAGTCATGACATGTTTTTCTATGCAAAAAATGTATCATGACTTTTCCGTCCATCCAATATATATATATATAGACAGACAGATACCCTTGTTAGAGTCTCATGCTCCTGCCCCAGGGCCTCCCAGCCAGCATGTACATGCGTGCATAGTGTATATAGGACAACCTGGGAACCAAACTCTACTCTTCCATATGGCTCCACACTGTTGTTGTGCCATCACAGCTGGGCCTATTCACGTCTTTATTAAAATGTCACTATACCAGAGAGGTCTTTCATGGTCACCTTAGTGATCCCTTCTCCAACTCCACCCTCACCCAGCCCACCTATCTTTTCCTGCTTTATTTTTTATTTATGTCCTTCCCCCATTGAAATGTAAGCTCCTTCAAGTCAAGGAATTTGTTTTATTCACTAGTGCCCCTTTGGTCAGCACACAGTAGGCACTTGGTAAGTGTCTATAGGAAGAAATAAGCTTCAGTTAAGTCTTTGAGCACTGTGAGAAGTGGTAGAACCAGTACTATCATCTCTGTTTTGTCAGATACAGAACACAAAGAACAAGTGAATTGCTGAAGGTCATCTAACTAACGAAAGGCTCACCTGGGATTAGAATCAAGATTTCCACTTTTGCCTCTACCTACATGCTACATTAGTTCCAAACAAAATTGATAGAAAAGGTAGATTCTCCATATTTTGTCTTTAATGGTTGCCTTTTTAGAGTTCCACTTTTCTTCCACAACTACTATTTAAAATATCTACTGTAATTTATAACTATGATTCTCAACCAGGGAATAAGTGAATAATAACTTCTCTTCTTCTTTCTTTTTTTTTTGGAGAGGTTTTCGCTATAGGGTGCGTGCGCTCGCCAGACAGACAGAGAGAGACAGACAGACAGAAATTGAGAAATCACCCCCCAGGGGGAATGGTCACGCCGCAGTCCCTTCTCCTCCATTCTCCTCTTGGGATCTTGAGCATACACGCACACACGCCCAGCGTGAGTTTTAAGCCACTGGGTCTGGGACGCGAACCGCGGTCGACTACGTGGGAGTCCAGCGACATAGCCATTACGCTAACTGCCGGTTCCCATAACTTCTCTTCTTTACCACACCTCTTCTCCTCCTCCATCAGCTTATTATTAGATTCATTTTTTTCAACACTGAACATTACGTTATGTTTTGCACACTCAATAGTCCTACTAGTTTTTTTAAAAATATATGTTAAATAGTCAGTGGGAACCTTCACTTTGCCAGGTGCACTATTCCATAACCTATTCTTCTTATTTATGTGAATTCTTGTGTCTACAATAGTTTCTCCCATACCCCCTACCATGCAGCTCTGGTTTGCTCTGAAGTCTTCCCTGCTTGAAATTAATATAGCCACTTGAGCTTTATTTTAGTTTGATTTATATTTCTCCCTCTCCAACCTCCCATCTTCTCAGTTCTTCCCTTCCATCCCTTATGACATTGCTGCCATTCATCCCACTATCCATATACTATGACCACTCATTACATTATTCTTTTTTTTTACTTTAAATAGCTTGATTTTTGTTGTTGTTGTTGTTTGTTTGTTTGTTATACCAGACAGGGAAAATGAGAAAGCAAGCCACCAGGTCCAGGACTCAAACTACAATAGGCCATGTGGGAGTCCAGTGCCTTAACCACCATGCCACCTGCTGGCAGCTAGATCAGCTGATATTTTAAAAGATTTTAATTTACCTTCATATATTCCTTCTCTGATACTACTTCATTTTTTTCCTCCAATTTTTATTTATTTTCTTTTTTTGAGAGTTTTTTTTTGTTATAGGGTGTGTGTGTTTGCCAAAGAGACAGACAGAAAGTGAGAAATCACTCCCTGGGGGGATGGCCATGCCATAATCCCTTCTTTTCCATTCTCCTCTCGGATCTTGGGCACACATGCACATTCATCTGGTGTGAGTTTGTAGCTGCAGGGCCTGGGACTCAAACTGCGGTTGATTACATGGCAGTCCAGTGACATAACCACTACACTATCTGCTACTCCTATTATTATTTTTAAGTTTGCCATAGGGCATTTATGCTCACCAGAGAGAGACAAAGGACAGAGAGAGAGAGGGAAAGTGAGAAAACAAGCTACCAGATCTGGGACTCAAACTATGATAGGCCATGTGGAAATCCAGTGCTTGACCACTATGCCATTTTTTGGCCCCTTGTTTCAACTTTTTAAAATGCATAACCAACCGATTAAAACAGTATTCTATGAATTTCCCCTCCCACCTTTTTATTCATGGTAGAGCTCATGCATACATGTGAGAGGTAGGGAAGAGAGAGAGGAAAAAAAACCCTCCAACATCTTTTGTAATATTGGAAGTGACCACAGCCAACATCTGCATATTTTTAGTGCTGAATCTGGAAGTTCCCCATAATAAGCAAGTGTATAGTATTCTCAACTGGACTGGTCTGAGATGTATTTCATGCTGGGTAAATTCTCTTTACAAGCTAAATGATGTACAGTGATTGAATGTATAAAATAATAAAAATTTAAAAAATAATAATTTAGCTTTCTGGGACCAAATTAAAACTATATGATACTATTAAAATCATCAATCATGTATTGAGATCTTTTTTTAACCAGACATTAAAACTAAGTTGACAATTCCAGCATAATCATTTAAAGTTCTCTTTATCATGATGCAGAACCATTTTCTATTGGCTAGTTCATTAGAAATAAATGATCTATAAATAAATGTTTAGGTCTTCTTTCTTTCCTCTTCTACAAATATATGCACAACTGTGTGATTTGGCACACAAACATTATAATAAATATTAACCAAGAGAAAATGTGTAATATATTTTCTAATTACTTTATGTTGGTCTTATGAACATGAATTATAATATTTTGGGTGACTATGGGATTACTTAACTTTTTGAGATCAGTTTCCTCATGCCTAAAAAAGGCTAATAATATAACCCTATTTATAGAATTTTTTGTGAGGATCAAATAAGTATGTAAAACACTTATCACAGGGGCCTGGACACATAATGAACACTCAATTAATATTCATTGTTGTTAGTATTATTAATAACTATATTGCCATCTTTGAAATTTACTTAGAACAATATACATTAATAGCTAATATAAAGGATATACTAAAAAGCATAGCCATTTGAACTCTAGTAGTGCCTATAAGTCATGCATGAAAACAATTTTCACAGTTTTACAGTCACACAGTTCTCACTTTCATTTTTGGACTTGCATATCTAAAGGACTGAAATGAAATAAATGGTATGTAATGTGATTTATACAAAGCTTATAGCTTTTCCAGAAAATACAAATAAGACTTTCTGTTTGTTTTTAAGTAGTGAAAAGGGCCTGTCTTAAGGATGAATTTTGTCCTCTGTTCTCATTTAGAGATAAGAATCTGTATCAGTTGATTCAGGCTGCCATAACGAATTAGCACAGATGGGGCAGCTTCAACAACTAACACATGTTTCTCACAGTGCTGGAAACTGGAGGTGCAAGGGCTATATGTTCCCAGACCCCTAGTGGATACTTCTGACCACAAGTA